AACGACAGGATACAAGTGAGGTATAGGACGCGAAAAGGAGGACGAGTTTCAACTTCAGACATTAATTTCAATATTGGCTTTACACCTTTGAGTACAGTGTGGTCTAGTAAGAAAGCATATTAACGTGGTTGAAAAAATAAAGCGGACATGCTTCAACTTTTTTATTTGGTCACTTTTCAACGGGCCTTGTCCACACAAATGAACCGCTAGCCATCGTAAATGACGTCCTTTCAGTTACGAGCAGAGGCAAAGCGAAAGCTAAAAATAAACAGCAGTATCTGTCTAGGTATGCTTTTAAATAACATTTCATATCATAAGCATGTCCATCCTTTGTCTAAGATGCGTTACCATTGTAAGAAGTCGTAATTCTGGTGATCCAGAGTGACCATTGAGCGTCAAGGGTTAGGAATATTTGTGCCCTCGCTACACAAACTTGACACTTAATGGATGACAATTGGTCCCAGAAAATAATTATAGGTTTAACTTAACAGCTATAGTAAAGCGTACCTATTATTTAGTAGAAGCTTTCGGCTCAATGCTGAAAGCATTGCAAGCAATATGAGTGTGTTTGCGGTATATTATAAGGTTACGTTGGAACTCCATACTGTGTGACTGGATGTAGTCCCGTTTCAGATGAATTTAGGCCACCCGAAAACTTTTACTTTGTCCTAGCGACTATAATATGGCCTAATTATAATTTTGAGTTTGATTCCGGCTTCACCATAACGTTGTTTGCAGCTAAGCGAAATGCCTTCAAAGCACATGGTAAGGGTGTTTGAGAAAATCATTCAGATTAACCAAACTTAATCCAAATACTTTTCATGCGTGACGGCAAGGGGCAAAAATTACTTTACATGACGAGCAACAAAAGTTGCACTAGCAGATTTATTTTGGTCACGTATCCGAACTGTAGCCTTGTGGTTGCTTGGCTGAGTAAGGCAAGAACTTAAGAAAAATGTAAGGGTTTGTAATGGAAATGAGGTAGGTTCCACTACGTAGCTTAGGCAGGAACGTTGAGGCTTATGTGTACGACCATGCTGTGTAACGGACATGACAAAATCTGCCTTTTGTTTCCTTCATATAAACCTTTGTTACCGCCAGAGCACACTGGAAGTGTCGCAAATTTATTGAGACTAAATGAACTTTACTTATTCCTACACGGAAGATGCACACTAACAAATGGACAGCTTAAGAATTTGCATATTGCTGAACATTTATTGAGTAAACCGTTTACCCACATGTAGTTGCGCAGCATTTATACTACAGGTATGCGGTATTTCACAGAGAAGTTCGTATCCATATTATTGCATCTTTAGGGATTATCCATGCGTTTGCTTGCACTGATGATTTAACTCATTAAACAGGGCTACGTTTAACCTTTTTCTACGCTGCTCTAACAGATACAACAGCACCAATTTGCAGCACTAGGAGTGTGTTAGCATCTGCGCAGAATCCAGTATCGGTCTTGTAAAAGCATACTGAACGCGACCTATTGCAGTTCTGTCACTCTGCTTTGCATTGTCGTATGGCAAACAGCGGTAGTCCTCCACCTGGCCTGTACAAGTCTTTTTAAGTCGAAGTTTAGCCATTTAAAATTTGATGAGTTTGAGCAACAGTGCATTATATTTCCTGGCTTTGACAACAGTGTGTATGTCTGGCGGAGTTAAGAATGATGGTTTATTGAGGACGTAAATGTATTCATTTACTACCAGGTACAAGGGTTTTATCGTAGCATATTGGTGCTCGACCATTTAGTTCCTAATTGTGTTGGGTGATATTAGCTGTTTCGGTGGAGAAACACTTTAAATTTATACCATATCCTGAAGTTCATTTAAGACCCTTGCTGTATTTCGAAGCATGGAGGCTAGATTTCCGGGATCAAATGTTTACCAGCCTTTTTAATATAAAGTTGTTGCAATACTATCCGCAAATATGCAGTGTCTACCGTAGGTCATAAAACAATAGGTGTCATCCTCTCTCATTGCAATTAAATCAGGAAACATGGTACTTCCAGAAAGCTACCTTAAATGACGTCGCATGCCTCCAGGATGCGACAGGATGTGTGCTTTTGTTATTATGACTGCTAGGATTCTTTCGGTAGATAGGAAGTGAACTAAGAAAAAGTAGGCGATCTGAAATGTGTACATTTCCTGTATTACTCAAAAGCCAAATATAGGTACATGGTCAGGAGTCTTTTGCATGACAAGGAATCTGACAATGTAAGTTTACTGCAGTCAACTGCGGTTCTGATGTGGCATAGTTAACCAGCATCGTTTGGTTGATTAGACTCCTGAATATAAGACAGCTGAAATGTTATGCTCAATATTACTATCTGTAAACTTAAGGTGCTACAAGTGCCTTTTAAGTGGAGGTATACGTGACTTGTTCTAACGGATTTTATAGCCTTCACTGGGAAGAAGTGAGACGTTCTCTTAAAAGTGACCGTTAATATACCAGGATAAAACAATGTTGTTCAACTCTAACAAACGCCAAATAAACTTTCAATGTTACTTATCAGCAGAAGGATTTTAGCGAGTATTTTTGTTCGCCGCAGTCAGCTGCCAATTTAGATAAGTCAACTGCCTATCCGAAAAAGCACCAGACGGCCGTTTTGCTCTATTGGAAGTCTTCAGTGGTACGCATCGTTCGGCCCTCTGCGGAGGATCGAACCCATGACTGCGAGTGGCTTGTGCCAGCTAGCCCGTTGCTTATGCAACTGCGCCATGGAGGACGGTATCCGACCGTCACGAATTGTTAGCTAACTGTGATATAGCCCGACGCATCCTCCACTGTCATGCAGGCACCTGCCATGCAGATGACAGCGGTTGGCTTTCCAGCGTCAAGACTTCCCTTTTAAGGCAGATATGAATGGACATATCAATTATGGAATCCGTAAGGGCAAATTTATTTTACTTATGAGTAGAAGGACTTTAGCTAACAATTCGTGATGGTCGGCAACCGTCCTCCCGGCTCAGTTGCATAAGCAACGGGCTAATTGACACAAGCCACTAGCAGTCATGGGTTTGATCGTCCGTAGAGGACCGACGCATGCGCACCGCTGACGAGCCCCAATAGAGCAAAACGGCCGTCTGGTGCTTTTTCGGATAGGTAGCTGACTTATCAGAATTGTCAGCTGACTGCTACGAACAAAAAAGCTTTCAATATATTGCCACGTTTGATCACTTACCGAGGATTAGAGGAGTACGGGAAAGCCAGTATTAACTAACATGCCAGAAAACACAAACCAAGTTATAACTAAAAACGCTCCAATTAATATCTGTTTGTTTCTCTTCCAAAAACCCTTACTTCAAGTCTAAAGACATTCGGAATGACAATACATGGTTTTTCTGAAATATAAGTTCAGGAAACATACCTTTCTATAAGCTAAGCGCAGTACTCTGATGAAGAAACCTGTAAGATCCATTGTATTGTTTACCTGTGCCACAGATCACGCTTTTCTAGACGTGCCTCGTCTCACCTAATGTTGATTTATTTATTTATTTTCTAAGGCATATACAACTTGTAGGCATGTATTGAAGTGCGTCTTACAGCTTGGCGATCTGCAAGTACCGACGCAAGACGATATCGATGGTTTGAAAAATCCGTTCTGGTATCAAAGGCAGGGAAGAGGCATGTTGGTCTCTTACGTATGACGTTCGCAAGAATCAATCCTAGCGCATATGTATGCGAATGCTCAGCACAAATATAAAACCACATGTAGACAAGAGATACAGGCCTGTTGAATTCGGCATTGCAGTGTCCTAGCAACAAGCAACCCAAGGATACATTGGCTTGTTCCAGCTGTCACATCAGCTACAACTGAAAGTCCTATGCCTGTGCATTGGAAGTTATTGCCGTCCACAGCTTAGCAGTATTTTGCTGTAGCAGCTTTTAATATGCCGTTGTTATGTCGGCAACCACCTCCTGTACTGATGCCGCAACACGAACGTGAGAAAAAGCGGAGTGAAACTTGCCACCTAATTGATGTCGGATTTCGCCGCAGCAATTTTCATTTTCTTAAAACTAGTCAGCGATGGAACGCGCATCTTGTTTTGTCTTAAATCCCCCACGACACGCACTGGCAACAAGAATGTGATGACTTATTACATCATGTACAAAACATGGTATTTACTTCGATCATCAAATGCTTACAAGATGCAAACGCTGTGTTTACCTCCATTTATGAAATATGTGTACATGGTAGAAATGTGTTTTGGTTTGCGTAAATTGTGGAGCAAACAAAGCAAATTTTCACCTTTCCGTCACATTTGCAAAACTGTTTCATTTTCCTATGGACTTAGCAAGTCCCCGTTGGTTTACCATTATGGTATTGTAGTTCATTTGTTTAAATGAAGTGGCACATAAGCTACGATTATCAAGTATTGTACAGCTGCACCTATCAGTGAGATCACTAAAAGTTAGGAAACTAACTAAATATACCTCTGTTTAACAAAAATGGCGGAAAATAATTTGTAATGATTTTGCTATAAAAACGACTTAGGAAATGGGATAAATTAGGACGCTCGCTTAAAAAGTAATAGTTAAACTAAAACCAAATTTGATAAACATTCGCTGTAAAATAACACAAATATTCCTCTTGCATTTAAAGATAACACAATCCTATCTCGTATGCGCTTAGCTGCAAATAACCAATGATCCGCCAGGAAGCCGTTGATTGGAATTGTCAAGGAATGTATCGATCAGATTGTAATAAGGACTCCGATGCACGTCGTCTAAAACTTTAGCTTATTTCGTGTGCATGTCAAAACCAGACTATCTTAATTTGCATGGCCCAATTCTTAACAATTTAGTTATGCAAATATGTCCACGTAGAGTGAAGTTAGTTTAAGCAATTCTTCACTCTTTTGTATTTTTATGAGCCAACACCAAATTGTGCATTGGTCATAAAATGCCGCATATATAGGAATGGGATAAATCTGTGCTAAATAATAACCTGTTATCTAGACTTCGGCTACTCGTAAAACGCTTGTCTCCTTTCGATGCATACCGTACTGTCGATTACAGCGGTGATAGTTGCTTTGTTCGGCGAATACTCGACAAATGTATGGAGCACTGCCAGCCGCCGTTTTGGTAAATATGGTATCAAAGCACTCGGAGACATCCGGGTAACTCCATCGACCCAGAGAAACATGGAGGCGTTGGTGCCGGTTGAAGCTACAAAACCTGGGGTTGAGATTATTGAACACGTAACCGATAAGGTGAGTACACGGACTCTAAGAGCGTAATGGCAACGCACATTAAGTGCTCCTAACATGTGCGATTTATGCTAGAGTTGTAGATGGATCTAAATGTTTTCGTAGGCCGCCATTTAGCGCAAAGTGTACAAAAGTTCTACATAAAATTTAGTCTACGCGTGTTGTTGAATGCAAGCAGTCTAATCATGAACCACGCTAATGAACAACTGTAAAACAGCTCAGCACCAAAACTAAGAACTGTCAACTAAACCCAGTCAAATGCTGTAGTTTAGCAAAAGCTGTACACCTGGGTGATCATGATGAAAGTAGATGGTCGGAAATTGCCTTAACTTCACTTGACTACAGCTACAATACTTACTCCAGTTTGGGCCACGGAGGAATATAATATAGTGTGACACCAATGTTCGTTCGGAAACTTTCTAATTATCACTTTATATTGATAACCATTTTATATTTTCATATGTTTAATGAGCTCAACTTTTAACGAACTAAGAATTCCAGGACAAGTTATGTATGCAAGTAAAAAAACGAAAAACGAAAGTTTTGTTAACTGGTTATTTGAAGCCAGAAATCGCATTTACAGCTTAACTTAGCAAACATAACTGCAAGGTAACCAGCTAGTATGAAATAAGTTCCACCTCGAGAGTATATGTCATGTTACTTACGCCAGCCGTTATAAGTGGGCAAAAGAGAACGCAGATTTACCCTAGCACTCAACAAGTTGTGTTAAAGTGAGCTAGAATTCACTTCATGTTTGGTTTACTTTCCCTTTTGCATTGTTAACATAAGGAAGCCTCCTTAGAATTTGGCGCTTCTGAGCAAACATTCGTGTACAGCCTAACCATTCCTACTGGGCGCCAGCAAACTTGGTCCAACTGGTCCAAATGTGATCCAATTGACTGTGTCCAGCGTCGACGCCGTGAATGTGCTGAAGGATCTTGGAAGCGATCCGACGTCAGTAGATCAGGTGCAAGTGGCTGTCCAAGTAAATATTACGAAGTGACGCGCATATGTAAGAATAAGAAAACTTGTTTAACATATGGTGAGTATCTCGCACTTCTGTGATTGAAAAAAATACTTGGCTAATTACAGGTTACTCGCTGTCACATGCCCGTATTATTCACACGGTTCTGATGTATACCTCGGTCTAAAATGGAGCAGGCGCTTGTGGTATACTGCTACTAATTGCCGCCTGTGTTCTTTTGGTTTACTTCAAAAGTTTGCACGAGATCCTTGAATCCGTACGACAACCAAGAAGATTGTAACTTTGTACCCATAATTTGGAAACAGTATTAAACATGTATGCTATGTGGCGAACATTATATTTTCAAGCTATATGATTCTGTTTCGATCAAATATAATAATGTCATACTATACACATAGACTAAAAATTATTTCACTACGCTGTCTAATACTTTGGTGTCATTTTGAATCAACAAAGATTTTCATAAACAGATGCTGATTCGACGATTGATTGTAGGATAAATATACCGTTTCGTAGTTAACGAATATAGAGAGTGGATTTCCTAACAAGGGTAGTGTTTACTTGGCTGGTAAAAGTTTACAAGTATATTAGACGAAACAACTAAATTAATCATATTCCTGATGCACATAATAATTTTGGAGAGAATTCGCTAATTTATAAGTTAATTCGTGTTGTTTACCTACGGTCGAACATAAGTGTTTGAGTGAAATCTATCTATATCACTAGAAGTCGATTTATTCGTAAATGGAACTAGATATTCTATGAAGTATAAGTAATCAAGCACAGGAAAAAGGAAATCGTTTTAAATAGGTGTGGATAACTGATGAGGTGCCTTGGAAATATCAGAAGGAATCGAGGAAAATAGTTGAGGCACACATTCCTGTTTTATAGTGATTTGCATCCAAACTACTAATCATTGGTGATGTAAACATATCGCATTGAGATTTATGCGTTCTTTAGTAGACAAGCGATTACCTAGCTAAGAAAATAACTTGTTTTCTAACGCCTCTGTATTAGGAGTGCAACTTCTATTTTACATCATATTAGAATATTATTCCTCTAAGTATATTCCCAATAAATAGATTTATGCACAAAATCCTAGTAACAACTCTGTTACCTTCTGGTACTTTGGAAAACATTTAGTGGCATTTTAGTGATTGGATTAGCGCAGACTAGTAATCTAAATATAACAAGCAGTTTATGTTATTACACTAATAAGCGCATGTATTTTTACTGTAACTATTGAATACTAATCTCTCCAACTTATAATACCCAGAGTGTTTATCCTTCGCACCGGTAAAATACAGCATTTAAATGCTTGCTGCTCATGACGTACTGTTCTCCATGGTTGTTCAAATAAACTAAGTTTAGTGTTAATGGACAGACAAAAATAGTATTTTAAGGTTATAGCCTCGTTTAGTGTAAACTTGTTCACACAACAGTGTACGATTGGATTTGCTGCGGTTTAAAATACATCACACGAAAATGTTGTAGTGCAGATTGTAAGGAAACGAACTGCTTTAGGGAACCGAAAGTTGTTTTTGCAGTTGAGGTTACTAATCTTTCACATCTAATACTAGAAATATGACGTGATTAAACGTCACTGCCAAAAGCCTGATAACCGCGAGCAATACCGTAAATATAGTGAGTTAGTAATGAGATTCAAAGCTTTTGCAAAGGTGTCTTATAGCTCGGGATTAGCAAGGCGAAAGGGTTTAAGTTTTATTAAGCTGAGACCACACCGTAAATAAAATGAATTTTGTCCAACCAACTTGGTGTTTATGTGAGAGTAATGAGCTGTTAAACTATTACAGAATCAACCTCAATGAACTCAATGAACCCAAATACAGGCATCTTGGTAGATGCAAACGATTGAAGATTATTGACCTTTTTGGCCGGTGTGATTAAACAGATGAAACCTACAGTTGAATGTAGGAAGGGGACACTTTATTACACTAGTTACAGTTTTTCGGTTTGATTTACTAATGTAGCAGTCTGGAGATTCCCCCGTTTGCCTGTGTACAATTCTAACTAAAATTATTTTCATTGTATACCAAGGCCACCGATATAGTTCGTTGAACTGATTGCTGAGTCCGAATGCTTGCCTTGCTCATCGCCATTTTTGTTTGGCGCTCGTTTCGGTTGCGACTCGCGAATGACCTGTGTGCTCTGCTTGCTCCGTTCCCTAGCTAGAGCGTCCCCGGTGTCATCCTTTTATAGCTAGAAAACGGAATCTTTTACTGTATCAATAACCGATTCCCTGCAAATCTATCTGTCTTCTCGAATCGCTCTCTGGGCTCCCGGTACAGGCGACCCTCTAAACTAAGCAGCTAACAAGTGTTATAGTTTACCATCGCATTCAAGCCAATGTTCGCTGGTTCCTTATTGTATGGAAAATATAATATTAATATGTGGTCAAAAGCTTTGTGATAAATTTATTTTTGCCTAACATGACGCCTTTCTTAGCATGGAATGTTTAGTTGGAACTGACTTCCAGTAACCAAATCACAGAGAAAACCTTTGGAATGTTTTCAAATAAACCAAACGCAGACAAGGAAAATTTGGTTTTTAATTATCTACGTTTCAATATTTTTCAACACGTAACTTCGTTGTCAACCAACGCTGATTAGTAACAATTCCCTTTGAAGGAAACTAGAACTACTGTGCTTGGTATTTAAACTAACTATCACCATTCTGGTGGCGGTTTATATTTATAATTTGGTAGCTATGCTACTGTAGCTTTTTATGCCAATATTGTCAAAAATTCCTTTTGAGTAGGAACAATATACTTTTCGAAGTAAGGGCAAATCGTTTAGTGAATCTTGCTAATGATGCCCACGGTTCTTGACTAATTACGAGTTTTAATCATATCTTCCAGTAGCGATGTTCTAGGCTTACATGTTAAGAAATACGAAGGAATATTGTTCTACGACAGCTCACTAAGCGTTGGCAAAAGACGTTTCATCAAAATATTGTAAAACGCAGTTACTTTTCAATATGATACTTTTACTAATCTTTCATTAAACAGACTGATTCTATCCCATAGATAACATGAGACCCCCTTTTGAATCTTTTTGTGTTCTGATGGATTAATCCTGTAGGTTTATTAGCTACATAGGTTAAGCATGTCCACTGAATGCAGCGCAACATTGATAAGACAAATTAAACTAAATAAATAAAGTAAATGCTATGTTCATCGAAGATGCGAGGCCTAAACAGGGTTGATCAATTGTATTCTTATTGCTTTTACCGTTTTCCTTGCTTTCATTTCCCAACTTCATGACCGAATTCTTGCATTATTGGCATTTTGTTTACCCACATTTGACTTAGGGTTTACTTGGAAACAGCAAGTGCTAAATTAAAAAGAAATATTGATTTAATTTACCAAGAGAAAGTAAAGCTTTTTAAACCATAGAACTGCTTAGCTTTGAATAGTTTCTATGAACCCGGTGGCAAATAGCTTATGCATTCTGGGTCACATATATAAAGAGGGTGAAAATTGTCATATCCTGGTAGTTTAATGAATGTTTCCTAACGGTAATGTAAAAATTTGAAATTACTGAGCGGACCTGTTCAACACATTAGAAATTAATCAGCTGGTAGCGTTATGTACCGGGGTTAGAGGAAACTGTTAAGCTGACTCGAGCTTTTACATCGAATGAAAGCGGGATTAAATCTATTCATTAAATAATATGCGTAGATGATCCTCACTACTGCGGTAAATAGGCTTACGACAAAGATGAATTAGTAACTAATATTTAATTTGCTGATGACAGGATGTGTTAACTAATTTCATTTATAAATTTACTGCATGCCTAATGTCAGAGAGCAGGTCCTAAAAACCGTGTTATCGTAGTTCCTCGAATTTTCCTCTAATATCTATAACTTAGCATGCTGAGTTTTAATATGGCTTTTTTAGTTTCACAGGCACTTATACATACAAAAGTACATTTAAAACGTAGCTGAATACATATGTGAATAATTTACAATCATTTAAACTAAACATTCTAGAATCCTGTTTTCGACAAATTCCCGTAAACAAACAGGCGATAATATATGGTGTCAGTGTATATTACGGTATTAATAACTTTGTTTACGCATTGGTAATAGTTGCATTAAAGCTGAACAAGTTTTCGTTTGGGATGTGGCGGTTGATAGGTACATTTTGCATTGAAAGCACAGATGAAAAGAATTATAGGGAGCTACAAAATGACTACTAGTGTTTCCAAGTAAGGTCTTTTTCTTAAACAATAGTGTACCTACGACCAGAACGCGATCACTTTAGCCTTAACTAGTATAGTAAAGTCGCTAATATCCATCAGTATTGTAAAACTTGTCCTTTTAGCTTCTAAGTCCTAGGTGGTACATAGGCGCAATGCGAAATTTCCTAACACGTAAGGCTTGCCTTTTTCCTCTGTACATCTCGTAACTGGCATTTCAGTGGAAGATGAGCCGAGCTATATCGTAGTAAACTGTCAAGCACGCAGGTTTGCTGCTGTCACCCTAGGTGAAGTCGCACTAGCTGCTGGCACCCTGAAGTCAAGGGTGCGGTACCCGGCAGGAGTCCGCCATGAGGCGTACCAAGGACTAGACCCATAAGGTCGCAAAGCCGGCTTCTGGCGCTTTTCCAGACTAGTTTAAGCCTGCTGATTGAAGTTGAGGAGGATGAATTAGTTGACTTAAGGTGAATGCCTAGGTGACTATTAAAAATATAAAAGTGTATGCATTTTGGATTTTCCTTCACATAGTGTTTCGCAGGTACACCTAGTGCCAATCCACCTAAAAGTATCTTACAGTCTTTCTAGCTTTCCAGTGCGTAATGTGGAATGCCGAGTTTCCGGCGTTTAATTGTTTGAAAAGTGAAATTACGCCATAGCCTTACCCTTTAATTTTACGCCTGCTATCTTGGATGCGTCGTGTGTAGAATGCACATGCGTTGTGTATGTTTGACGGTGATGAAGAATTGATGATGGTGGAAACCGAGATGTTCCCTGCATGTAATACCGCAGCTTTGTACACCTTATATTAAAACCACGGCAAAGCTTTCATCTAACAAATTCAAGAAAGTGTTTGCGGGATCTAAGCAACTGCTGCTTTTGAAAACTAGCTTACTTATTTCATGACAGACACAATTTACTCTTGTGAGCAAGCTTTGAAACCGTTTGGTCAGGAATCGACTGGCGTTGCGACCACTATGTTTAATGTCTTGACTCAATATCACCGCTCGCAGGGAAACGTACGCGCATAGCATGGGTAACCTTTTTTATTGTTGTAGTGTTTATATGACGTGACAAAAATCTGCATTTGTGGTAATTAAGTGGGTAAAACACTTGGCATTAGCAGTTGTTTCGTATTGTCGTCAGCGACTAATGAATCAAGATAAAATTAACTGATTTTTAGCAACCAAAGTCAATCTATCGGGTGTTAACCGCAAGAGTAGCATGTTTTATTTTCCAAGCACCCTAATCTGGATAAATATTGTGAAATTCGCAAGACAGGTATTATTTTTGGTAAAGTTACGATCACAGACAAAAGCGTTATTATAATATCGCTTACAAACTGGTTCGTTCCAATTTTTATAGCCGAAGCTGATTGCATTTTCAACTGCCCTGCGATTTGAGTTGCGCCTATAAAGTATGCTTATAGCACGGTGGAACAGACATATATAGTCACCAATTTTGTTACGATCATCTTGTTAAAACAGCCAGCAAATTGGACATAGCCTTTTTAAGCAGCCACCTTTTAGAAATGCTTTTACGTTCAGCGCAACAAGGTCTGTCTGAATGTTGCAGAGTACACTAATGCGCATTGGTTCCGCGTATATTAAAAAAATCGTTTTATTCTCAAAAACGCGTGACGTGCCTTATCAGGCATATTCATGGTGTGATAACAAAGTGTGAATAAAAATGTACAAATATTCATGTTTGCCATAACAGTACATGTGCCTATGGATGCGTATGTACTTGTGTATATTTGTAGCTTTGTAGCTTGAGCTTGTAAGCGTGCTGCTGTATTCGTGACTGTTTGCTAAATTCAGCGATGTAGCGATAGTCGATTAAAGTTTGTGTATTAATTAGACTTATCCAGAAACCCACGTGGCAGTGCCTTTTGTTCTTGGCGAGTCACATTCACCACGTCAAAAGGTTGATAAGCAGATATTTGTGGTTTTCTATAGGAAGAAATCTTGCCAGACGAAATCCGAGAACCTCCTCAAACATTACCGTTAAACTATTTGATAGAACGACTTACATCCGAACTACCCAGCTGGCACCACGAGGAGGTTGTTTGGGTATCCAGGTATTTTGTGTGGCACATAAAGTTGCTAAGTGTAGCAAAAAGATCGTTTGTTCCAAATTGAGTGTTAATCGGTGAAATGTCGACTATAATTTTCTCCTTTGCGCGTACTAGTTCTGGTACGCAGGGTTGGTAGGTGCGGGTTTGGTAGGTGCGATGATGTGGAGAGTTTATAGGACACTTACATTGAATTATAGCAGCATGTGCTTACACGTGTTGCCGACGGGTGCTTAGACTATCAGGTTGTGCCCGTTTTTTTTCGATTGCTAGGAAAATGATAAAAATCTTATGCGCAGACATCAGGAGTCAGCAAGCCAGCGCGGTTTACAGTGGTTAATCATTAGCCTACTACACCCAAGAGAATGCCTTTGATAAATAACTAGTAGATAAGGGTATATATTCGGAAGCCTAGATAGACTAAGTGCCCAAGATAGGTGATTGATCCCACAGCAATCATAGATGTGTTATGTTAAGCGCCAATGTGTCCGCCTTAGAGGGGTCGGGGTAGGGTTAGTGACCGTACGACTTTCGTATGCGCCAATAAGTCAAATCTGACCGCCCGTGTATGTCAACTGGGTCCGCGGAAGATGGGAAGGCATGCCTTATGTGTTTTGACTTGCTGGTTTAAAGCAAGCAAATAAGCAGGCACGTTGCTTGCCGCTGTCCTGGTCAATCCACTATACAGCCAAGATGAGCAGTGCCGCCGTGGCTATCTCAGATAGGCACACGATGGATATTCCAATATATCTTGATCGATACGAACAAGAAAATGAGCAAAATTAAGGAAATACTTGACGGCGAACTCCTGCCCTTAAGATGTCTAGAAATCTGTATTAAACTTAAAGCAATGTCGAGCTTAGACGGAAGTCCATGCACAAATTAAAAACAGAGAAGAAACCTTATCACAGGGTAGATGCAAAAGTATCTAAGCCACAATCGGCAGCATAGCAAATCGGTGACTTACATTGCCTGATCGTCCACTGCTTCGTATTGTATTTCCCTGCAACAACAAATAAGTATGCAGCCAACTAAATTGGATGACAGCTTCAAAATTGTGATGAGCATTAAGTTCCGTTCTCCTCTTACGCAATCCATGAGCGAAAACAAGTTTGGGTTCTTAAAATACGATTGCTAGCATGTGTTTTATTGCAATCAAAATCAGGCAATTTTGCATGGGAAACATTGGGATTAGGTAGGAGCGCTTTTTCGTTTCCCAGTGGAAAGTCAACTTAGACACAAATCGCATAGAAGGTTGCGTAAATCTTATTGTTGTAGGTTGTTGCTGTTCATGAAATCAACCCAACGTTAGGTTTAATATCAGTGATTTACCCACTCTGACAACTCATATTGCGCAGTGAGGCAGGAGTACATAGACACAGTGGCAGCATCTTGACACACATGATAGACAATAATATATAGATTGTGGTTGTAACCATAGCTCTATTCGGGCGTGATTTCTCACGGATGCTAACATGCAGAGTCAAGAAAATGTGTGCCAGTAATTCGTTGTAAATTGAAACGCTTTATTTTCTAAACAGGTATGCTTGAAAACTGTGGAATCCAAAACGCGAACGAAGACGCTGACTCAAACCCTACTGGAGATAAAAGAACAACATCGAATTCATGGCCATGGCTTGTGAGTTTTAGCTGATCTACACAATCAACAGTTTAGCATATTAACTGTTCGATGTTAAGCACCAAGTAATGTCATTCGTATTATATTTCCGTTATAAATGGAAGTATCGTAAAAGTTTTGTCCGAATGTAACTGCAAGTTTACTCGTTGCAATTCATGCACGCACTGCTGTATATCTTGCTTTCGTTAAATTTCGAGGTGGGCTGTTAAGATAAAACCTCCTACAAATAACTGCATTTGGTAATGTTCCTAAAGACAGCATGCGCACCTTCAACTTACACATGAAATGTTTCCGAACTGGTCAAAGTTTTATAGACTGCTTATGTGCATCAGCTTGAACAAAGTTGCAAGAAATATAAGTGCATTCTGTACAATATGTAGTTGTGAACTTGTACTTAGTTAGCATTTAAATTCAAAAGCGCGAGTAATATGTTTGGGACATCAAGATCCTTGGATAAAGCTTTGAAGAAAGGTATGGATGGCTCCAGACCGAATGACGAAAAATATCTGCGCATAACCATTTGGACCACCGACTCTTATATTTTATGTTGCGCTGTCCCGAGCATCTTTCATGTGATTGTGAGAACCGCTAATCCAAAAGCATGTAGGAAAATCCGGCAAAGCCGTTACAATTATCATCCGTTGCCAAAAGTTAAATGTTACTTATTAAAGCATAAAAGGGATATAATTGTTTGAGCTTATACGCCTAGGGAACAACGTCCCACATCCATAAGGGATCTGCAAACTATTTATTTGTTTATTCAGTTACTGTTATAGGATTTCTAATAAAGATGTAAATAACTGTTGGATAATGTTGCTTTGGATGTCAAGTGGCGTTAGTTTATATAGGTGGAACATTTATTGGGCTGAAAAGTTCAAATGTTAACGTATTACGTTAAAAATAATGTAAGATATTGCTTACACCAGATTAAATGATCTTGTGGTAAATTGCAGATACAAAACTAATACTTTATGAGCAGCCTTTATGTGAGTAGTCAGCTATTTGCTAGGAAAACATAGAAAGAAACGGAAAATGATCGGGTGATCGCACAGAAATATTTGTCAGACTGCGATTTCGCAAAGTAGTTGCGATCTGGCAATATTACACAAATCACTGTAGCTAGTCCTAAAAGGAGTGTAACGGCTTAATTAACGAACTAAGCATTTTAGTTGAATAGTGGTAGTTTAAATGTGTGTACTGTGGGTACAAAAACCTCAGATAATAGCAGACAAGTAGGTTAAATGCCTATAGCTAGAGAAAGGTTCCACGCAAACAGTATACCTCCTTTTCCTATGTGCCTAACCAATTATTAAGAAAAGACGCTAAATTTCATTATTCATAGCAACAAGAATACACTTGCAGCTGAACAGAAACAAATAAAACATTTTGTCTTATTACAGGGTGTTCCAGAAATTGAGATTGTTGCCAAGCTATCTGAATCGAAAGTAAAACCTGCGTCAGTAATCGGAGTGAGAATATTGTTGCAAACTAAGCTTTTTGGTCTTTGAGAGCTGGAGCTAAAAGTTATGAAATGAAGGTAAACATGGATAAACCAAAATGTACCTAAGGATGCCGTGCTTTGACAATTGACTGATAAATATTTTTTAAACAAATACGTTCTCCATACAGTGAATTAAGACACTTGTTGCAGAATTTATTATTTCGTGCGCTCTGATCACGTTCAAAATGCAACGTTGTAAACAAACACTGATGCAGCCCAAGCAATAGCTTGAACCTTGGACGCGAAGGTACATTCCGTCACAGACCAGTTCAGAATCAGAATTAGTGAGGCAAGTGTTACTTTCCTCAAAGAAGCTTGAGTGTGACAGTCCGCTGCTTTTTGCATTTAACTTTAGGGAGATTAAAATTAACATCTACGCTCGGTGCGTGTTTGATTACTTTCGAGTTCAGACTATGGTAGGTAATTGTAAACGCCTCGGCCGCGTCAACTGGATTATCTGTACACTGTAAGTCTGTTTTTTGTATCTCAACGCCTGTTCTCATATCTGACCTTACATAGCGATATCAAAACACTTGGAATTCGCTCAACGCCCCACATAGGCTAACGCCGATCCGTTCTGCCGATGGAATTGGTTAAGCAACTACAGGCAATCTGGTAAATGCAATGTGCCTTGACGAAAATCTTTTGGCTAAGCATGATCAGAAGCCTTGCTAAGTTCGTGCTTGTCCAAATTGCGAATAGATTGACAGCACCGAGCCCTTCGCAATACTGTGGCTGCGGGTTGCCCTACTTGTTTTGTCACAACATCTTTAAAATGCAACAGCAGATAAGTAGCTATCTCTGATAATAGAAGGGAGCTGCTATTGATTCTTTTCCAACCAGCGGCCGTGGAAAATGGATAAAAGTAGACAATTTCCCGCAGCGTCTGCTTATTAAATTGCAATTCAGGCTTCCAATATTTAATTCTGCATATTCTACGAGCTATTTGAAACGGAGTTTTGTGGTGACAGTGTTTATGCTGGACTGTAGTAAAGCTACTGGGTTTTTCATACAGTCCCGTTCAAGTTGCATATAGCCCAACGGATCGCTTTATCTAGCTGGCTGTTACTCATATAAATAAAGTCGAAAAGCAAAGCGCTTGGTCGCTTTTGTAGATGTAAACCTGAAACTTGGGTGTGCGATTTTCATCGGCACACTCGAATTGCTTTGTTAAAATAAAACTTATTTCCCTATGTATTATGCTGAACTGGTCCATAATGGTAGGAGTCTACGCGATCATGCTTTAAGCTTGTGATCCATTTTCTACCGTTATTGCCAAAATCTTGTGTTTTTGTATGTGATCAGAGAGCCCGAAATGATATCTTCTTTAAATACTTGTCTTCTCATTGTACTTTGTAAAATGGTACGGAGCACCCATTACTTGTAACTTTTGCCTAAATGTTTACTATTTACAATGAAGGGTTATGGGAATTTGCATATACTTCTTTTATGTAACCTGCATGCGGTTCACTAAATTTTGTTAAATGGACTTCCTAAAACGTTGGGTATTATATTGAAGTTTTCAAGTTTTATTATTCCTGATATCTTGGCTGTTAAACGAACAGAGGAGGTCCAAACATTGTAGATGTATTTATTAAAAATCAGGTCTCCATTAATTTATTATTTTTTCCGTAAACGACATAGTTTTCGTTGCCTTAGGAAAGGTCCACTTTGTGCTGAAAACTCACGTTATTACTAACATTATTACCTCATGTTGCCTATAAAGGACCACCGATTTTATTTTCACGGAAGGCATTAATTCGGCTGTTGCTCATTGTTTTGCCACAAATTTAAATACCAATTGAAACGAATTTTTGCGAAACCATTTTTATGAAATCTTTTCCTTCTTAAATAAATACAAAACCCGAAGGGTTATTCCAACTTTTCGAAATGGTTGCTTGATCAGTCAATGACAGTTAATCTTTACATTTCTAACCATTGTAAACTTTCCTCTTTTAATGGAAACCTAATGGGAAAGTTACAGTCGACAATGGAAATGCTGAAAATGCTACTTATAGGTGCATAAAGCCTAGACTGACTTGGCTTGGTTATCAGCTACATGTAAATTAACGGGGCTAAAATCTGTTGCAACGTTACATCGCATTTACTAAAGTTAAATAAGAAATAGTAGTGACGAATGCGCACTTTAACTGCTCTACAAATGTAAACACATCTAAATGCATAATACTAAATATAGCATGTGAATATTTTGAACCATTCGTACTTATTTTAAACATGCTTAGGTTCGGTTGGTTACCTCAGACTCTGAAGGAAAGGAATATTATTGGTGCAGTGGGACGCTGGTTTCACTGGAATGGATCATTATCGCAGCTCACTGTTTTACAGATAACGGTTGGGTTGTTGTTTCAGGACGGCTATCTACTCCAGAGAAAACCATTGGTACAACCCTTTACGCTTATTTGGGCAATCATCGCCAAAGTGTTGATAACGGTACAGATGAGAAATACTTGATCAAAACAGTGTTTATTAACACCTATTATGAGGCTTTTGAGAGCAATAAAGGAAATGATATGGCGTTACTGCAATTATCAAAACCTGCAGGATTGCGTGAGTTTAAGTTCATGATAAGTAAATATTTTGCGTTAACTAATGTGTGGCGTCCTCTATCTTTTGCGTGGATCCTATTGGGAGTGTAACGTTTATTATCACCCGATAAGTTCAAATGACTATGTAAAGTAATACATTACTCGTGTAAGCAGACGGTGTTTATAGCAGCCGCGCATTGCCTTTTTAGTTACTTCGGTGGTTTTAAATTTGGAATGGTTGATATTAATAGTAGTTTCCTTTAGGAAGACACCTTTTTCAGGGACATTATGCCAGCAGGTGATGTGAATACTCAAATTAGCTGAATTCAGATTAGCCTGTTGAAATATCGTTCATTCTAGCTATCGTAAAATTATAAATTTCTTTAGTGGCTAATCCTGCAACATTCAAGCTTTCTGGAGTTTAATGAATTATGAGGTCGTATCGGTAAACAGCTGCAATAACATAACATTGAGTATCTCACGCAATGGTCGATTCTTCAAAGTATTGTAGGCATGTACAATTTGCACTGGTACTGAGGCTAAACTATTTGAAATGGCGGCAAACTCGGTCGAATTATTGTGAATGTGAAATTTCACAAAATACCTAAAGTTTATCAGATGATGCAACCAATGATAAAAAACAAAACAGTAGTCGATTTGTAAGTTTCCTAGCAATACTAAGGCTGTTGCGAACCTCTTCTTCGAATGGCTTTGTGTTTTCCTAATCCAGCTTACCACAAACCAAGACACATTTTGCGCAATGAGATGTATCGCTTTCATATTTGGTGTTGCAGGAAAGGAACTCAACTATGCTTGCATAGCGAAACAGCATATTGATCTTGAACCCGGCACCCAATGCTACGCTGTTGGTTGGGGTCAGATGCAGAGCAGCATTGAAAGCAACACAAAAATCAACTCATATGACATTTGCCACTCTCTGTTTAACACAGCTGACGTAGACGCCGATAACCGGCTTCTGTCTAAATTCAATAACTCTGAGCCGGTTGAGCTGCAGGAGGTCATTGTGCCTATAATGATTGCAAGCAAATGTCTTGAGTACTACGGGAAGCAACAAACTGAATCTCAATTTTGCGCGGGTTGGGGGTTGAAGGTAAGCAAATGCAGACTTATTTTTTGAAATGGATTTTGTAATATTACAATCAAATCTTGAAACGTGACGCGCACGTAACGCGTCTTATTGCCGCGATTAGTCTTGCCTCCTCTAAGAAAATTAAAAATAATTCTTCTTGGTATTGGTGAGGCTGCGTTGCTAGCATTGCTTTAAGATAATGCACGGTGGACACAAGAAGTTAAACCCAATGACCAATTCGGGTTGTTCCCGTCGATACCGAAGGAGTAGTAAATGACGCCGCTTTCCAGTTAACTGATATTTGTACCTGTGCTGGTTTCTCTATCAATCAGTTACAACTTATGTAGTAGCAGGGTGTTCGGATATTGTTTCGCAATCCAACAAGCTGATGAAAATTCATTCAGCTAAGTTACTTCTTACAACAAGTCGTTGGTAGTCCATCCTTCAAAATTAACGCTAAATCTCAGGTCCTATTGAATAAGTACAGATTGGAATAATTGTCATATTTCGTAAGACGGGGACGCCGTCTCAACCGTTGCCCCCCAATCAACAAATAGTACGTTCAGTGATAGGGCACTGCTCATCCGAATATTGTTTCCATTACAAGTGCCGAGATGCGACGAATTGGGCAATTGCAGAACGTGACCATGAGATGGCCACAATTTATGTGGTGGGCTTTAAATCTCGCTACAATAATTTTAAATGTGCATCCTCTCATGATGATGGGTTGTCTACCTAATAAGTAGGATAAATTGATGCTTACCCCAGGTTGCGGTCGTTGCTCCGTTTATGTAGTTCGTTAATCAGTTTACGTTTAAACATTATAGGTTGAGGTTGCGGACATGGGCTTCACACGCGCTAAGCAAGCGGGCAGCGGAATACATCTCCGCAAGCATAGACCGCCCCATCTTTGGGCTATAAAGTATATGCAGAATAACCGTCACTTATTCAAGTAAAGTATTGGAGGTATTTCGGTACGATTTTCTGCATTCGGTATTCTACGCGAGATATATATAGTTATTCACTTTATGTGCTGAACCAAATCCGCTGTTATTAAAACAACGAAGGTAGGTGAATAATACGCTGTTACCAGCCACAAGCGCTGTCAGAAATCTGAATAATGGGGTTTTTAACTATTTTACGCACAAATCACTTCACGTGTGGCGAATTCCCTTTTGCATCAAGTAAACAAATACAGTTTATCCGTATAAACTTCTAAAAGGAATGGTTTATCGGTCCTTCGGTTAGGAAAAGCAGCATTATGAAAATACCACTTGACGGATAGTGTAAACCAGGTTACTTCCCAGGCGGCAAACCTTTGTGTAAAATTTGTAATGCTCATGTACCCAGGTTTATGGCAGCAAATAAAATGTAACTTACTAGAATATCGAGGATTGCATTTTAAATAATCTTGCGTTATGAAAAATCAAATACAGCCAGCAATTTGGCAGTTGCAACAACACATAGAATTATGATGGCAGTTATACACTCATGATGTAGAACAATTATACGGATCTTATGGCAATTCTAAGGACGCCAAGATCATTGGGACAACATATGATAATGTTACCAACAAAAAGAATCCATACGCATTATTCATTATCCAATTTATAGCATTATGTTGTCAACTACTATGCAAGTCGCATTGATAGATAGGTATTATTTATTCTGCGTCACTTTCCCACTAGGATTCCTGTGAACGTGACTGTAGAAGTGGACTTTATTGCAAGGTTCCGTACACAAACAAGTGGCTGTTGGCGGGTGTGAGAAACTACGGCACGGAAACTGAATGCCGACCAGGTACTGGAATATATACTTCTGCAATTACAGGAAATGAGTGGATATGGTCAAGGATAGAGAAATCGCCTTCATAAACCAACTCCCAAATTGCAGCGCGCCGATCAGTTGTTGCAATGACATAATAACACACTTTGATTGGTTTCCACTATAATGTGAAAAGACACTATAAAATCATGTTTATTAACATACATCTATGCTGTAAAACAGCAAACTCTGGTGAAAGATAAAGACTTCCACCAATGTTCTAACTTCGTTTATAGCAATCATTCATAAGAAGGCAGACCGGGTAGTTTTGCTTGCGCCTTAAGATGTCATCGTTCGAAACATTCTGGCATGCATTGGATTGAAATATTTTTATGAAAAGCTTGACCAAATATGTACGACTGCTAATGAATTCGGTAACCAAATGCGAAACAGCAATATGCACAACCGCTGTTGGTTAGAGAGTTTCATTCTGGCAAAACAATGAACAATTTGCTATAATGATGTACAGGTAGTAAACAAGTGCTTGACAAGCAGTGTAGAAATGCTGCGTTGCACGCAACACGATGCAGTGCTATGTGTGTCACCGGCTTATGCAACCGTCAACTTAATATAAACCAGCAAGATTATTTCTTAACTTGTTACCAAAAGATTTGCAAAACTAATTATGTGCCGTGTTGTTGTAGTTACCAACAACTGTTATAAGAAATGAACCGCGTACTCATGTCGTGCAGCTTTCCAGATGAAATCAGCATGCGCCACAGTCGTTCTAACTAGTGCTTCAGTGCTAACGTCCCTTAACCTAAACAGCGACAATTTTGCCCATCATTGCAGACTGTTTTCATACGCGTTAACATCTCGCACAAAGTCCATATTAAGCAACAAAGTGCAGCACACATTTGTGACCAAAATAAATGTATGGAAAGGAAAATGAAATTTTTAGTGCTTCTACTGACTTTCACATGAAATCCATCGCTTAAGATTTAAAGCCTACTTTAACCATACTTCGCACTTTGTATTCGTAGAATGAATTTGTGTACCGATTGAGTAGAAATAAAATGGTGTCGCGCAATTAATCTCATTAAAACATCAAAATGTTTGTTAACAAGTCAACCTAGTAATGTCGGGAAACTGCTGACTGGTAAGCATACGGCTGTCGTTAAGTTAAAGCAACTAACCTCAAACTATATACACCGGATGCGTACCACTTAAGCCTTTTAGAGCACCACTTGCGGGTAAATTCAAAGAACGTCCTCAAAGTGGAACAGTTTTAAATATGGATTAAAAAAGCACCTAGGAGTGCAATGGTGTCAAGAGGGTAAATGTAACCTCGTTACTGTGCGCTGAGCGCAAATTTTTGAACATAGCCATCGGATTAGATTAGAATACTGAACACTGAATGCTGTATCCTAGAGCAAGTAGGATCTAACTCAATACGACTATTCGAAATATGCTGAAAAACGTTATAAATATTGTCATCCGTGCTTATATTTTTCGTTCTGTGTAACATTTGAAATATCTAACTCCGGGTATTGCACGAGTTACAAATGTGACATGTAAACGCAGTTGTGTAATGGTGCTCTGAATCGAATGGGTTAAAATATAAACTCAACAACTTTTTGAACTGGCACATTGATGTTGCCTCCATCACACTTTTTGCAAACTGTTCCAAATATTTACCACCCTCCGTTCGAAGCTGAGTGTAGGAAACAAGCATAACATCCGACACGACATGTTTGTATCAGTGTCCGCGTTTGCTGCTTGGCCTTTTTAAGTGCAACCTTGGCCTCAGAACCCGGAAGTCCCCGAGAAGTAGTATACGATAGATCATAACGAGGTCAACTCACACCCAAAAGATGGGACGAGATGAAGGTTCCTAGTTTTGCGCAACTGTCTTCGTAATCCAAGCCACGTAAACTCGGAATGAGCATAGCAGCAACGTGTTGGACCCGTTCGATCATTTGTGCATAGCATCGGGAAGTCAAAATTTGGTGGGCTAACCATTATTGGTCTAAGGATAAAAGAAATGAGGCCAGTAACTACCTCTTTAGATCATTGCAGAAGCTAGGTTTGAGCGCTCAAAGCAAGTGCAGTTCGTTCCGATATAGCCTGGTCATGTTGTCCAAAAACTTCCAATCGTAGGGCGAGAGTAAACCTACGTTATTCACGGAGAGCATGGGATACAGCGATTGGCCGTCAAGTGTGTTGGTTCGGCCGTCAGCACGTTTCCCAAGGCACACAACTGCAGACATGGCTGGGTTGACCGGGTGATGAAAGTCTGCAGACAAGCTGAATAGGCGCTTGAGGTCTCGCTGAAATAGGCCACAGTCGTAGGAAGCGTTAAGTTCTCTCCAACTCTTCATGTCATCCGCTAACAAGACACACGGCCACCGAAGAATATTATGTATATGGTTGTTGTGGATCAGGAGCAGAGCGGGCCCCAGCACGGTGCTTTGAGGCACGCCACGTTTAGAGGTAAACCACTTAGTTAGGTGGTCGTCGAAATGTAGCCAGCACTTACGTCCAAAAAGAAAGTCGCAGCTCGACCGGTGCAGTGAGCCACCAACACCCCACATTCTGAGTTTGTAAAGGGAAAACTCATAACTGACCTTTTCCGAATGCTTTAATGAAATTGATGAATCTCACTTCGACAGACTTCCCCTCGCTTATGGCCTTCAACTATTTGTGCCTCGTCACAATCAAGTTTGTAATGTATGAGCGGCCTTGCATAAAACCTTGCTGTGCGGGCGTCAGCACCTACTGTAGCAATTGCAGCAAAGCTTTAACAATTTTCGCAGCAACCTTTGCCAAAATAGGCGTCAGAAAAATTCGCCTGTGGTTGCCAACATTTCTAGGGTCGCCGTCTCTCGGAATGGGTTTCACCACTAAACCTTTCCTGTCAATCGGCAATAAACCTTCGAAGAGCAACCTGCTAGAAAGGTTACTCACGACAGGAGAGACGATGGGCGAAAGTGACTTTAGAAACAGTGAGGCATGCCCATCAAGTCCGGCAGACTTGGTGCCGTCCAGGTTGGAAAGCATTTGGCAAACCTCAACAATGCCGCAATTCCGACTCGCGGGTTCGCTAAAAGCAGTACACATGGAACTCGGAACATCCACCTACACATCCGCATATACAGAAGCAAAGTGCGTCGCCAACGCGTAGACACGCCTAGTAGTGGAGGTTAGGGGCGGCCCATCTCGGCCAACCAGCAGTGTCATATCACCTGCCGGCTTCAGGCGTCGCTTTACGTTAGCAAAGATTCACTTTGGGATGGTCTTCGCGGCGATAGCGAAAGGCTCTTCAGAATGTCGACGCTAATTCCTTTTTGCAACGTTGCAGAGGTTCCGCTGACTTGTATTCCCTTCGTAATCATTAGCAGAGCCAAAGAGCAGGAAGTTGTCCCACAGCCTGCGCTTCCAAATAATATTTTCCTACTCCGTTTCAAACCAATAAAGCATATTTGGTCCAACGTTCAATCATTTCAATGTCACAAACGGCCAACACAAGGCCTTCAATCTCTATTTTATGAATATTCAACAATCCTTCACAGGTGCAGCTTTTGACTGTGACTAATCCAGTTGTCTCGCGGCTCAAGCTAGTCCATCAAAATCCGTTTTCCAGTAGTTGTAAGCTGGTTCCAGACGACGTGAATACAGCAAAGTTAATTCCATATCAAATTTGAGCAATGAGTGTTTGCTTGTAGCTAGGAGCTCCAGTATCCGAAAGTCTCGCACTCGTTGTTCGTTGCACGTTAAAATCATGTAGAGAACGTACAGGATTGAACGTGTTGTTTTGCGTGTTGGCTGTCATAGTTGTTGCAATGCACCAGTTACAAGTGCCAAATCCATGAACTTTGCTTCGAAGTCACTATACCCAGGCAACAAATGTACCTCGGGTCATTATATTGGAAGACCGTTAAAAGCCCCATAAGTAGAAAGTTTGGACGACGCATTAAGTTCAAAGATTGGGCAGCCAATCCAAACAAGGACTAATTGGCTGCGATAAACTTGTCTACAAGTAATTCTCCCCACGTGCGGCGGATCGAGCATCAAATTAGCTCACACAAACCATCGTCACGTTGGTAGGGGCTCACAAGTCTCCCACGCAAGGTGGGCGGGATGTAAAGCAAGACATCAACATTGGCGTTTTTTAGTCTATTACGTCGGATGCTAGCTTAACATTGGCGTTTAAGTTCCTGGGTGTATAACTGAATGCAGCCATGTCTCTGCGAGTCCCACTACGTCTGGCCGTTCAGACGCAACGAAACAACAGAGCCCAGTGCGCTTTTTCATAGCACTGCATACGTATGTGTAGGGTACCGCAAGCGGCAGCATAAGCCGCCGTGCGTGCGTGCTTGAGCACATCTTTGGAAACCACCAGAACATTTAAGATACAAAGTTTTGTTTATCCCTCACCAGTAAGTTTTTTCAACTCATGGGTGGCAGGGTTAAGCCACCCGCTGTCTACCGGGTCCAGGTCTGGACGACCATGAATTTTCAAACCTTTCAGCCTAGTTGGGCGAGAAACTACCAGTCTTGGAGTGGCTTCGCCCACCAAGTGCTTCTCATAGGCCGAACCTGTTGATCAACTTGCTTTCCAAGGTTGGTAACATGCCCCTCTCCTTACCGAGTCCACACAAACGTCGAGCAGTCTGTATTTTACCAAAATGCACGCTGTTTCTGTATTTTGTAACATCAAATTCTACGGTTGCGTGACCTTCAAAATGTCCATTTTTTACTGACGGCATATCCGTTGACCCAAAAGCGTTTTGGCGAGTTAATTGTTGCACAGTTTTTCGTTCTGGTTAATTCGCTTTCTATTTTCGTAGCCTGCACAATAGACGTTGGGTGCAGCGGCCTACAAATTCTATCCGGTCTCGTATTTGACACTGCTCTTACGTGTTCTTGGTTAGCGACTAGTATCTCAGGCGCCGCCCAACGATTGGTAACTCTGCTCCAGAACACGCGTTCAGCGGTTTAGA